TGGCCTTTGGAGCAACATGTGCTGCCTGGGGCCCAGATGTGGCTACCATAGGCCCCAGGGACCTAGCCAGCCCACATGCCACCTACTGTGTGGGTACCAGAGCATGCACATGTGGTGGCCTGGAGCTGGGACAAGAAGGCAGTGCTCACCGTGGCTGCGCTGTAGGGGAAGGCATGATGGGTGCAGGTGGTCCACCCAGGCCCAGGGCACCCAAGTCCCTTGGGACTAGACACACCACCAGAGCTGGCCTCCCCACCCCGGTATACACCAGGGCTGGCCCGGAAGAGGCAGACAGGAAGTCTAGCAGGGAATTCCGCCTAGAATTTAGGAGTTTGAAGAAAGGCATGCTGGGAAAGACCTTAACAGAGTTGTTCTGACCTGGGTTCTGGGCCTGTCTCCACCACTCACCAGCTGGGCAGCCCCGCCTGCATCGGAACCTCTTAGAAGTGGAGGAGGTCTTCTAACCCCACCTTCCACGCAGAGTAGATACTCCTCCCACAAGCCCCGGGCACAGCATCATCCTGCGTCTCTCCAAACAGCCAGCGACTGAACTCCTCTGCCCGCGGGGCATGTCTATTTGATGGTTTTGTTAGGAAGCATCCCTTTTTCAAAAGGCCGGGAAGGAGCTGGCAGATGTCAACAGTGTCACTCACCTCTGTTGGGGAGGAGAGTGGGATTGCGGGAGGGTGGCAGGGGCTGCCCTGTTAATTTGCTCTGAGATGCTCTTGATATCATGTGTTCAATCTGCAATGGCAAGGACAACAAGCAAGGTTCTTCGTCTGAACCCTGTCTGCTTTCCTAACATTCCCGCCCTCCGGGCCCAGGTCTGCTGCCTGGGACCAGAGAACAATCTAACCTGCTTCCTCTCAGATGCTCTTCAAGTACCTGAGGGTGGGGGTCTCGCCTCCACCAAGTCTTCTAACCTGGTTTCCAGACACGTCACCGCCAGTTGGGTGTGGAAGGGAGAAAGCAGTCGCTCCCTGAGCTGGGTGTAACCTCCTGCTAATTAATGAAAGAAGCCTGGGGAGACATGCTTCTTGCTTCTGTGTTGTATGTGGGGAGGGGTTACTCGATCCTATCGTTCACTTCCTCAAGCCTCCGTTTCTTATCTTCAAAAGCAGGAAACATCACCGTGGCTATGAGAATCCATCAACAGTAAGAACATAAAACCCTTAAAAGGCACTCATCCCTACCCTAGGGGTTATGACTTAGGTGCTCGTTCTGCTCAGGCAGCAGCTAAGCGTCGGCCCCTAGAGCCAGGCTCCTCGGGTTCAAGCCCAGCTTCTCCGCCTGCCTATGGGCTGTGTGACCTTGGAGAAGTGACCTGACATTGCGGGGCTGTTTTCTCCTCGGCGAAATGAGGATGACGACACCATGTGCCTCGGAATGCATTAGAGGCAAGGCTCAGCACACCATAAACATCCGCTGTTTGCTACTATTACTGTCTTAGTCCTTCATCGGGAAACGAGGGCGTCACCAATAGGAGGCTAATTCATGGCACCTGTTTGAAAGGCGCGGCCATTCCACCACACTGGTCCTGGTTACCAGGGGGAGTTGTTTCCCAATCCCCCCAATATTGGCAAACACTGATGAGTGAGACAGGGCTCCACAGGTCCCCACTCATTGAACTCTCCCCTCGGCTCCAGGCTGTCGAAGCATCATTACTCCCATTTTACAGATGAGGAAGTCGAGGGTCACTTACCTTGTCATTTGCCCAAAGTCACACCACTAGGAGGTGATGGAGCCAGGGCTCAAACCCAAGTCTCTCTGACTACCAAAGTCAGTCTCTCTCACCAGGGTCCTGCCCTTTTAACCAGCTCCCTAGCTGGGGCTCCTCTCCAGATGCGGGGACCACAGGAAGCCAAGCGTGGTCTTCTTAGAGACAAGGGCCTGCAGTTTCTGGGAGGTAGGAGGAGGGCACTCTCCTGCTTCTCACTGAGCTCCCTGCCCCACTGTACCTGGCTCCTCCAGGGATCTGATGGTGTCACGGGGACCCCAGCTGCATTTCCTGGGGTCCCTGCAGGGCCACTATGGCACCTGGCACCCTGGGGCTGCTTGTTGGCTGGGTTCTCAGCCCCTGATCATGAAATGGTTCCACATGATCTCCAAAAAAAAAAAAAGGAAAAAACCCAGCCATTTTGGACGTGGGCCCTGATGCGTAATATCATTATGGAGCCAACCGAGTATCCCACCCCATTATCACCCGCCAAGCTTCTGCAAGGCGAGCCTGGCTGCAAATGGCTTTCTCCTGTCAGAGGGGGGTGGAAGCCCGACTTGCCCTCACTGTCGGAGGAGAGGTTTTATCTTTAATTGACAACTGGCCGCCTGCCATGCCTTGCCTCTGCGGGCCCAGCTCCGGCCCGATTCCCCTCATGCCTCAGGAACAGGCTTCCCCTTGCACCTTCCCTGCCCTCAGCCCTGCCCTCCTCACTCGGCCCCCAGTGAGCTCCTGTCCTCTCTCAGTGTGGCTGGACAAGGAGATGGCAGAAACCTGGAGACGAAAGGCCCAGAGCTCCAGGAAAAGGGTGGGGCAGGAGCTAATGCCTCCTCCCATCTACTGCACATGGTACAGAGAAAAAGGGCCCCGAAATAGAGGCTACCATTATCCCCATTCTACAGACAGGGAAACTGAGGTTCCCTGAGTTGTCCCAAGTGGCCCACCTAGGAAGTGGCAGGCCAACACTGTAACCTGAGGCCTGTATGACTCTCTTGTGTTTGGAGCAGGAGTAAGAGGCCAGGCAAGAGTAAGGGGAACAGACAATGCACCTAGGCCTGGCTAGGTAATTCTCTGGGCCCAGCGCAAAATGAAAACCCAGGGCCCCTTCTTCTGTAGTTACCCGTCACTTCAAGATGCCGACAGCTGAGAGCGTGGGGGTCCTTGCGAGCAACTGCCCAGGCTCCGCACCTGTGAAGGCGGCCCCGTGTGTGTCCCTCTGAGTGTGACCACGTTGAAGGACCACGTCTGACTGTCCCTTCCCACTGCCCCAGCCTCCCCTCTCTGGGCCTCAGAGGCATTCATTCGCCAGCCCTCTGTGGTTCCGCTGTGCCACCAGGGCCTTGTCAGCCTTACTTCGCCAGCCATCCAGGCATCTCAACGACTCTGGTGTCCCTCCCCAGGGCCCTGGCCCACATAGAAATGGTGCGATTTCGGGAGGAGGGGAGGCCCCCCCCGCACTGCCGAGCCGGAATACGGTGGACCTCACTACACAAACAGCAGCCTTGGCTTCCACGGGGGTGGTGGGAGGTCCGATGGCGGGGTCAGAATGCTGCCTGCAGGCAGGGGGTCCCCGGCTAATCACGAGGCCTCGGCCAGCTCACTTTTCCTCTGAGTATCTGTGCCATTCTTGGTGGGGGGCAGGGTTAGGACCGGAGGGTGTCGCCTGTCTCAGGGGTTGGGACAGAAGCCCAGGGAGGTCCCCACAGACCCAGAGCTGGAAGGAGAGGCGGAGGCAGTCACTGGAACAGCAGGAGCAGCGGCTGCTCCAGGTGTCTTTATTGAGAGTGGAGCACAGCATGACAGTCGAAGGCATGCAGACAGGGCGATGGGCCCCCAGCCGCGGCTTGCCTCGGACACACAAGAGGAGACAGCTTTAGAAAAGGACCCACACCGGGGCGGGGCAGGAGGGGAGCGAGGCAGAGGAGCGGGAGGGCTGAGGGAGGGGCAGAGGCCAAGGTCGAAGGGGTCACCTGGCCTCTGCTATTGCACGCGTCCTCTGGCCACTGGCCAGGAAGTACAGTATTGCAACTGGTCTCCGCTCGCCCAAGGCTTCCCCTTCTCAGACCCCTGAGCCTGATGGGCAGACAGACCCCTTCCCTGCCAGTCTGCCCAGCAGCATCTTTAAAAACAAGTGGACGAGAGAGACAGAAAAACCCAACGTTAAAAAAAAAAAAGACAAAATGCCCCCTCAGTCAAGGACACAGGCAAGGGGAGAGTGGGAAAAACCGCAGAGAAGCCCCCGGAAGTCCCCCCACAACTGGGGCGTGGGGTGGGAGGTAGAACCCCAATCTGGGGTGGGGTGGGGCCAGTGGAGCAGTGACCCTGGGGGGCAATCCAGCCTTCCACAGGCCACCGGCCCCCAGGGGTCACACCCCCAACGGAGTCTAGCCTGGGACTACCCAGCTGGACCCGCAGTTCCAGGCCCACTTTTCCTGGGACGTTCCACACACACGTACGGCAGAAATGAGGAATCAGGGAAGGGATGGGAACAGGGTCTGGGGGAGGGTCAAGGGCTTGGGGAGACAGCCTAACGAAGACAGACCACCAATAGCACGTGCACTACACACAAGAGTATAGTATGTATGAATATAGATACTATATGTGCATATATATCTCTTCAATGTACAACAGAACAAAACATCAGACCCGGATGGCTCCGGGCCCCGAGGGTCACACAGGAGGTTTTCCATCAGTCTTGTGCAAACAAGGATATCTGCGTCTTTCCCAGCGAAAGATTCTTGCCTGGGTTCCAGAGTTCCCCTAAGCCTCTGGCTTTCTGTCTGTCTGCCTGTCTCTCTCTCGCTGGTGCCGCTTTAAGAGAGGGTGAGCACTTCAGCCTGGGCATAGTTGGACGAGAGGGCGTCTTGGCAGGTCTCTGTGTTTAAAGAGCACAGGTGTGAGACACTGGGACGCACGCTTTCGGCCCAACATTGCCTTCTGGAGGCAGAGGGCAAGGCGTTCAGCAAAAGGAAGGGAGACACAAAGAATGAGAGGTTAGAAGGCAGGCAGCTGCCGACCCACAGGCTGTGGGCAGGAGAGCAGGCCAGGAGCAGAGCTGGACAGCACGGGGACCCAGGGCTAAGAGGCCAGGAAGAGCAGGGATGGGTCAGGGTATGGGGGAAGCCCCTTCATCGTCCCTCTGCCCACCCAGCTCTGGGCCGATGGGCCTCCCACGTGATGTCACAGCTCATCTCCATACGTGCTGAGGAAATGAACTCTGGGAACTGCTAGCCCGGGTCTTCAAAGCTCCAGTGCAGTGGAGAGAGGGACCCCAGCTGTGCAGCCTGGCATGAGGCAGGGGGGTGGGAGAGGTTCCTGCTTGGCTTGTAACCCACAAGCCATCACCCGGGCTACCACCCACCCCACTTGGGCTTCCCCCCACGGCTCCATCTGCCACTACCACCTGGGGACATGCCATTGTTCCATGGGCTGACATAGCCTGCCCAGCCCCCTTCCTCAATCTGGCAGGAGCACAGGGAGGGTCAGGAGAGAAGGCCAGAAAGCAAAGCCCCCAGGGAGCCCTCTGGGCATTCTCCCCAAGCCTATGAGGTCAGTGGCCGGGGCCTGCCCTTGCCCTACCCTCCCAGTGCAGGCACAGCTGGGACAGGCAGGGAGGCTGCTGCAGGGGCAGGGACTTTGGAAGGTGACGCTTTCTGCCAAGAGCAGAGGCCTTCCTCTCCCAGGAAGCCTGTGAATGGCAGCCCCCCTCCTGACCTCCTCCAGTGAAGCCTGGGCTCGGGGCTGAACAGACACCCCCTCCTCTGGTTCCAACTCACAGCCATTCCTCTTAGAAGCCCTGGGGGCTGAGAAGTGGCCTTGCACTAGGGTCTCTAGGAGCCCTAGTACAAACTGGGAGGTAAGGTTAACAACTCCTACCAGACCGATTCCCTGCTCTGCAAGGAGAGGCTTGAGCCCCAGCTATAGAGGAGAAAGGCTTCTAGAAGACAAGTACAGGTCCAATTCATGAGGCAAGGTGAAGTAGACTGTGCTCTCAGATTGTCGCTAAAAGGAGGGCCTTCCTGGAGGCCCTGCAGGCACAGCCTCCCCAGGCAGAGCCCGGGGTCTCTCTGAGTTCCAGAACCTTCCTCAGCACCCTGGGAAGGCTGAGGTCCTGAGAAGGAGAGGGGCAGACAGCCTACTCGGCTCTCCCATTTGTAGGGTTTGGGTCTCTCGGATGGGGGTCAGGGCTGGGAGGGACGTATGGGAGCCCCACTCCCAAGGCGCTGGGGGCCCCAGCCTGGCACTCCTGCATCATGTCGCCCAGGGACATCTGTGCCTGCCACAGGGGTGCTGTGAGCACGCCCGTCCCTGTGGGAGGGAAGGAGGCGGTGGGTGCCGTGGAAACCTGGGCTCCTGACAACCGCAGGGCTGCCGCCAAAATAGCCACCTCAGTTCCCCAGAAGCAGAAATGCAAGTCAGAGGGGGAAAGAGCTGTGGGGCCCACGCTACACTGGACGCCTTGAGCACCACGCCTCTGTCACAGCCGGGCCCCCAGAGCCAGGGAGCCCTGTGGGGGCAGGGCTGAAGCTGTCCTCACGAAGGAGCAGCTGAGCCCTCGCACTCGGAGAGGGGAGAAGCTTCCTGGCGTCTCCATCCTCATCCACAGGGCTTTCCTGTCCCTGCCCCCTACAGGGACCTGTTCCTTCTTCACGGTGGTCGCACCGATACCCCTGTATCTTCCCAACTCTTGAAGCAAGTGGGAGACGGGCCCCGGAGACTGCAGCAGGGCTGGGCCACCCCGGCTCCCACCTGGAACAGACCTTGCTGGAAGGCACATTCCGGTCTGGCTGAGGCTGAAGGAGACTCAGACCCAGGGAGGCTGCCCGCCCTCCGGGAGAGGATCTGACCCTTTTGCCCAGTTTGCCTTCTGGGACGGCCCCCAGATTTCCCGGCATCCTCCCAAATACCGTCCTGCCGTACCCATCTCTGCCCACCCCGGACGAAGCAGCTACTGCCTTTCCTTAGTCATTCCCTCCACGAAGTTGCATAATCTGACTCTAAAAATGGCCAGGCGCACGGCTCTGCTGCCAGGTCTCATTCCCATCAGGTGGAGAGGAAACGACGCCCCTCCGTCCCCAGGCTTCGGAGGGCCTGCCCGGGGAGCCCTGCTCTGTGCACCACTGGGGGGCAGGGGAGGGGCTGGGGCTCAGCCCTCCCTGGGAGTGGCAGGCTGACTGCAGGAGGGGTGGGGACCGGACGGCTGTCCCCATACTACCCCTCGGCTGCCCCTGCCCAGGGTGTACCCCATCACACAGTGACTCACAAATCTGTTGTGCTCCTGGGCTCGTTAGGTAAATGAATACACTTAATTATAGAAATTAGATGAGTCTCTGGTTCTGGCAGCAAGACAGAGCGCAGAGGCTGGGTGGGAGCGGCAGGCGACTCAGAGGCTGGGCTGGGAGTGTGAGGCAGCAGAGGGGGAAAGAGAAACTGCCGTGGAAGCAGAGGAGGGTGCAGCGTGGTGAGGGGTGCCGAGGCTCGGAGCGCAGATGGGATGCTGGGCCCCACTTCCGGGCATCACCTGGAATGGAGGGCCCCCCCGCAGCGGGCGGCCTATCCTGGGGCTCGGACTCTAGGGACCCCATGTGCGCCCCAGGCCAGAGCTGGAGAACAGCGGTCTCTTCTCCGAGAGGTGGGGGCCACTGCTCCCCTCGGGAGAGAAGGCCCCCAGACACCGGCAGAGATGCCCCACAGGACAGCCTTTTTCCTTGGTGGTTGGGGTGTGGGATGGACAGACAGACAGACAGAGATGTTTGGTTGCAGGCTGTTTGCTCACTGGTTGAAGGCCACAGGAAATGGAAATGTATTTGCTGTGATTAAGGTGGGACCCTGTGGGAGAGGCAGGGCTCAGGGTCACAGGTCCTGGGGCCATGTCAGCCCTTCCAGCTCAGGATAGGGGCAGAGAGTAATCTCCCCCTGCTCTCGGGCCCAGACCCAAGCATTCTGAGGAGCTGGGTGCCGTGGAGGAAGCTCAGGGGCCTAAATTCTCTTGCCTCTGGCCCAGGTCCCTTGGGCCCCAGGAGGAATGGGGGCTGGCAGGCATGGGTGTGCCTGCTTGTGAGTGCGGGCCCAGAGGCTGGAGGGCAGAGGCGGAGCTACGAGGCTGAGTGCCCCGGGGGTGGACTGGGGAGGGGGCGGGTGGGGAGGGAGAACAGGAGCTTTCTTGGAGGGTAGGGCGAGCTGAATCTCGATGCCAGTGGAGACAGCCCCAGGCTGGTTGCAGCCGCTGCTGATAGGTTGTTTAGACTCCTGGACTTTTCACAGCCTTGGTGAAGAAAAGGCACAGGGGTCAGAGAGCTCGCTCCTCACCTGAGCAGCTCCAGGGGTCCCAGCAGGACAGGCCTACCTGGGAAAGGCTCCCTGGCTTTCCCTGGTCTCTGGGTCACCTGGATTCCTTAGGATGGACTCCAGGGTCACACACCCAGCTGACCTTTGCCCTGAGTGCCTCTCCAGCTGCACGAAGGCCCCAACACCCTCCTTCCTCAGGCCTTGGAAGCCTTAGAGAGCACCTGCCAACTTCCTCCCAGGTGGCTCTCACTCTGACGCATGCACAGCTACAGGTGGACAAGGGGGACCGTGCCAGTGGCTGGCAGAGGCCTGCGCCCACCCACTCCTGGTCCTCCATGAAGCCTGAGCACAGAGAAGTGAGCGCGGCAGAGTCTGGCACAGGGGAAAGTTGCCGAGCGCGCTGCACGGCCCGTTTCCCGGCAACCCACCTGTTCCCTCTCGAAGGTTACTCTAATTGGCTGAGCTACCCGGTTGTTGCCAAGAAGCAGTGTGGAGGCATCTTGAAAAATAGAGCAGCCAGGCCCCACGAGCACCCAGAGAGATTTGGTGGTGGGGCGCAGGTGCCACGCACGCCCATGTGTGACCCCTTCCCTGGGGGTCACCCGCTCCCCATAACTCGAAGTCCCTCCTCATGTGCACCCGCACAGTCTCTTCCACCACGTTACCGCCACTGAGCCTCTCGCAACACTGGGGTGAAAGCAGGGCTGCTCAAGTCCTACATGAGGGGGGCCCCCCTCACATTCTGGGCTGGCCACTTGGTGTGCCCCAGCCAGGGCAGGGTCTGGGACGGACCAGGACACAGTGGAGCCTCTGTGTGTTTGGGGTGGGGAGCAGGGGAGAGAGACACCTCCAGAGCCAGAGGATTGGGGCACACGGAGGCCAGGCATGACCAGTGGGACACAGGAGAAGGTGCAGCGGTCTGAGCCCAGCCACCTGCCGCCCTTCGGCTGGGGCCTCTCCTCTGGGCCACCTCCTTCCAGCTGCCAGGTGGCAGCCTCTGCTTCTGACGGCCAGTGGGGCTTGGGCTGACAGCCGCCCCTCAGGCCCGGTGCTGAGAGGGCCGGGGCCAGGGGCCTGGGAAGGTGGCTCTGGAGGCTGCACGGCTGGACAGGCGAGGGTGCATCCTTGGGGGGACAACCTTGGGAAGACTGAGACACCACAGGCTATTCCTACAGCAGCCACTGCCCCTGCCTCAGTCAACCCAGACCCGGGCTGGGGTTTGCGGACAGTGGGAAGCGGCAGGGGGATTGGGCCAGAGGAGGGTTCGTTAAAAGGTGGCCCAAGAACCAGGGCATGGCTTTGTTTTGGGGCAGTCAGGGTGGATTCTGAAAACAGATGGTATTCAGGGAGGTTAGATCACCGGTCGGGAAAGAAAGACAAATAATAGGGGGCTGGGAAGAAGGAGCCCTAAGACCCTGGTCCCCAGCCACCACCTGCCCTCAGCCATCCTTGGTCGTTCCTGCCCCTCACAGGCCAAGACCCCTGACTCCAGCGCCTGGGCCTGTGCAGGTCTCGGGCCCACTGGTGGTACTGCAGGCTTCCGGGACAGGAGGCCGTGGGCGGCCCCCCTGCGCTCCCCAAGTTCTTCAGAACACTCCTTGGATGGTGCACACTCTTCCTGCACCCTACCCCCGGTCACCCTGTGGCTCTACTCAAGTCACATCCCAGGGGCTTGCAGAGCTGGGCCAGCCCCTCCTGGGCTCCAGGCCCCCCACGGCAGGACGGAGGAGGTGGGCCTCCCCAGGGCTGATGGGACTGCTTACTTGGGGAGCCTAAGCTGCGTGTAAGGGAGGCCAAAGGAAAGACAGGCCGTGACCCTGGGAAGCCAGGCCTGCAGGTCTCAGCAGGAGCCAGAGGAGGGGAATGTAACAAACTGGGGGGTGGGGCAGGGATCCCACGTCCCCTTGCGGTCAGCACTTGTCTTCCCGCACCTGGGGAGCAAACTATGGGTACCTCTGAGAATGCCACAGGCCTTTCTAAGGAAATCAGGGACCGGGGGTCAGGGCACCCATCCTAAAAGTGGGGGCTCCTCCGAGGCAGAGGAGATGGAGGCCACAGCCTCAGGGGCGGAGGAGACCTCAAGCTTTGTGGGGGACACCGAGGAGCCCCAGCTCTGTGGGGGCTCCCCCCCTGCCCTGCCTGGGGGGCCGTACCTTTCCGGACGCTCCCGTCAGCACAGGCATAGTCCCCAGCGCTGAGCAGGAAGCAGGCGGCGGCCTTCTTGTTCCTGTCTCGGGTGCCGGAGCGGCGCAGGGCCCGGCGCTCCTCGGGGCTGGGGGCGGAGGCCAGCGGCTGGGTGAGGCCCGCTGCCTCCTCGTCAGACAGCACCGCGTTGGCCTCGCCGTTCTGCTTGGAATCTACAGGGGCAGACAGAAGGGACACCGCGTGAGGGCTGCGGACCCTCCTCACAGGGTCACCTGGGGTCAGTTAAGATCCCAGACTGGTGTGTCACGTCATCCTGAGCAGGGGACCTGGTCCTGCGGGCAGGGGGGCAGGATGCTGGCTCCCTCCCAGCCTGGGCCGAGCATCTTTCCTGGGAGATAGGTGCCCTGAGCATCGAGTCTCAGGTCGGCTGCGGCTGCCCTGGGAGGTCGGCCCGGCAGGCAGCAGACCCTGCTCCCTCCTTGGGTCTGGCTCAGGCTGACACTTGACGAGCGTACCCACTTAGAGAATGCCTGGCTTGCTGGGGTGCTGGGTGGCCCTACCAAGGTGACATGAACAGAGTGGCTTCCACGGCTGTCTACTCAGACCCCCTGAAGGCAATCACCCTTGTTCACCAGGCACCCGAGCTAGACAGCTCTCTGCACTTGGGACTCCCCTGGGTCTGGGGGACGCTGGGGTGGAAGAGGCCCCATTCGGCTCTGGCTGCTGTGGGCTCTTCACCTCAGGCTCCCTCAGGCAGCAGCCCAGGCGGAGTGGAACCCTTGGATCTGGAGAAGGGGGACCCCTCGGTCTGAAGGCAGCAGCCTGGCACTGGCCGGTAATGCCCTGACTGTGGTCTTGCAGGGAGGGTCCAGCTAAGGCGTGGCTGACGGCCACTGGTCAGTGAGAGCTGAATGCTGGCCTGTGGGCTTGCACACTGTGATACCAGGTTTCCCTCTGAGCCCTGAATGGGCCTCGGGGTGTAGCTGAAAGCCCCTGGGGCACCAGCCTGGGGATCTCTATTCAGGGAAGTGGGTAGCATTTTAGCGGGGCCTGGAGGGGGCATGATAGGAATGGAAGCCCTAGGCCCCTGAGTGGCTTTGGCATGTGTGACAGGCACCCACAGGTGAGCGTCCCTGGTCAGGCACCTGTCCCAGCAGACGAGTCCCACTTCGCCCACAGAGCCTAGCCAGGGGCCGTTACCTCAGTGTCCTGGCCCACCCCCAGGTCCCCGATGGCCTAGCACCCAGTGGCTCCCCATACCAGGAATCCCACCTCCCTTAGGAGCCCATCCCACATCCACCAGTTAGGTGGCCCCTCTGACCTAACTCCACCTTGCCGAGGGTTCATTAAACCAATTCAGGTGCACCTCCTGACCAGCGCACCTCCTTTCCTGTCTCCTGACTCAGTTGGTAGGGACATTCCCCGGTGGCCCCTCTTGACTTTGAAAAACAGGGTTCAGATACGCAGGCCCTACCTATCTAGGACCTGGGGACCGGCTGCTGTGACCACTCCCAGCCCTGCCTGGGCCACTGCCTCGAAGGTCCCGTCCGTTCCCGTGAGTCCCTGAGCCCAGGACTGGATCTGGATTGTGCCGCACAGAAGGCAGCTTCCTGCTGCTGTTACATCAGCACATTTTTCTGGCCAAGAGGCGGCAGACTCATACGTGTTGAGATGTGATTCTTGTGTCCACACACCTCGGAAGAACAGTGTGCTGCCCTCCAGCAGACAATGACAGTGTCTGAGATATGTAAAGTGGGTTTGATGTCTCGGAGGACTTTCGTTTCTGTCATTTGTTTGGGTTTCATCAAAGGCCTGGGGGTAGGGTATTAATATCACTCCCATTTCACAGGTGAGGAATCTCTGCCCAGAGAGGGTGAGTGACTAGCTTCAGGGCACAGAGCAGAGGGAGTAAGATGAGATTAGAAACCTAGGCTTCCTTACAGCCCCAAGTAAGACCCGTTGCAGCCCAAGTTCAGTGGGACACACGCCACAGACCCTGATGCTCGGGAAGCTATCAGATAACCAAAGGGGAGGAAGAGTCAGCCTCAGCACTTGGCCCTCATAAAGGCACGAGTAGCTCCTGCCTAAGCGTAGCGCTTAGGGCAGCCCAGAGCAGGCAAGTGCAATTCCAAATTCCAAGGGTGGAAGATCACCGGGGGGATGCCCTCAGCCACGCGGGAGAGGCAGCCTTCCCTCCAGACCTCCAGACCTCCAGCCTCACCTGCCCGCTTCCTCTCAACCACGCCCTCTTCCTGGGCAGGGGGGCTGGTATCACTGTAGGTGCTGTCCCGAGGCGAGGTCTCCTCTGACTTGCAGTAAACGGGTGACTCGAGCTGGGGCGGCCTCGGCACGTGCTTCTTACGTTTCTTGGGCAGCTTCTGCTTGGCCATGGCCAGGGAGTAGTACATGCCGAAATTGTTGACAATGACCGGCACCGGCATGGCAATGGTGAGCACCCCGGCCAGTGCACACAGCGCCCCGACCAGCATCCCCGACCACGTCTTGGGATACATGTCCCCGTAGCCCAGTGTCGTCATGGTGACCACAGCCCACCAGAAGCCAATGGGGATGTTCTTGAAGTCCGTGTGGTCGTTGCCCCGCGGGTCGGAGGGCCTGGCGCCAATGCGCTCGGCGTAGTAGATCATGGTGGCGAAGATGAGCACACCCAGCGCCAGGAAGATGATGAGCAGCAGGAACTCGTTGGTGCTGGCCCGCAGGGTGTGGCCCAGCACGCGCAGCCCCACGAAGTGGCGCGTGAGCTTGAAGATGCGCAGGATGCGCACGAAGCGGACCACCCGCAGGAAGCCCAGCACGTCGCGGGCCGCCTTGGACGACAGGCCGCTCAGCCCGACCTCCAGGTAGAAGGGCAGGATGGCCACAAAGTCGATGATGTTCAGCAGGTTCTTGACGAAGTCCAGCGTGTCCGGGCAGCACACGATGCGCACCAGGAACTCCAGCGTGAACCACAGCACGCACACGCCCTCGATGTAGGTCAGGATGGGCTCGATCTCCACCTCGACCCGGTAGTGCGTGTTGGTAATGTTCCCCACGCGGTGGATCTCCGTCACGTTGCGGTCAATGTTGAAGGCCTCGTGTGTCTCCAGGCAGAAGGTGGTGATGGAGACCAGGATGAAGAAGAGAGAGGTGAAGGCCACCACCTGTGGGTGGGGGAGAGCGTGGGGACAACTTTCAGACAGGGATCTCTGGGTGGAGAGGGTGGGGACCCGGGTCACCAGGCAGTCCATTAGGGATGGTGAGGGCTGGGATTAAAGCGCAGTCAGGAGCTAGAATCCCTCCTCACAGGCTCTTCATCCACCTCCCTGGGGGCTTTAAGGCCGTATTTCCCAATCGCTGCCAGTGCCTAGAAGTTCAAGGCTGCTCTTGGCTGAAGCCTCTGATGATAGCTGCTCTGCCCTGCTCACTGGCCAGCTCTGCCCACCTGTAACCCAGGTGCACTTCAAGTCTTCTGTCACGTGGGGGTGAGTCATCGAAACCTTGTTAGAATGCCACTCTGACCCTGGAGGTTGGGGCGGGACCTGGGACTCTGCACTCTAACAAGCTCTTGGGCCAGGGTTTGAGGCTTTGTTCCTCCAAGGGGGACCCAGGACCTGCAGCCAAGCGTCACTAGAGAACTAGTCAGGAGTGCAAATTCTCAGCCCCTACCTGAACTCCCTGAATGCGAAATGCTCGGGGGAGGGCCCCTCAGTCTGTTCTAACACACCTTTCAGATAATTCCAAGGCACACTCAACTTTAAGGCCCACTGCATTATGGGAAATGCCCCGAGGCAGGTGGCTCGAGGGAATGACCCGGGCCTCCTTCTACCACCTGAGCCTATTAAGTGCCAGCCACGACCCACCTCCAGAAGCCCCAAGTCCAAGCCTCTCTTGCCTCTCACCTTGGGGTGTCCCAGTTGACCACCCCTCCCGTGAGAGCGCCTGAAGGAAGATACACACCAGACAGGGCAGTGTGGCCAGAGCAGGCACCCCTCCCCTCCCCAAGAGCGGGCTTTTCCTGGACCCTGAGCTCTGAAGAAGAAGAAACTGCCCCCACCAGGATCCGAGCGTGGCAGCAGCGGGTCCCGACGGCTGTTGGGGTCTCGAGGAGAACCACGGTGGCACTCGGCAGAGGAATGGCTGGGCTTAAGTGCCCAATCATTATGAATGGAGATGAAATGCATGTGTAATAGCACCAATTACGGAGCCTTCGTCTGTGATTCATGCGATGCCATTCACCACTGTCAGGGCACCGGGAGCCGGGGTCCAGGGCCCGCCACGCCGCCTGTTCTGCTCGGTGGGTGGATGGGTGGGGGACTTCCTTTCTGAACACAGGGCCGAGCCAAAGTTGGTGGGTGAGAGAGGACATAGCACCCCTGTGTCTGCCCCATGCCCGATTTCCTCCCCGCCATGGCACTGCCCTGCTTGATGAATGACGCCTCTCGGAGCTGCCCTCCTCGCTGGCAGTCTGCACCAGGAGGGGGCGGTGTGGGGCACATGCCTTGCTCCCCCTGTCACTAAACACCAAGGGAGGACACAGGGAGGTCGGGGCGGCACGCCCAGGGCTCTGGAGGAGGAGCAAGTCTGAGGAGGGAACTTTGGGAATGAACGGGCATCGGCTCTGTCTTCCGTGCCTGGCACAGTGGGGCCCTCCATGTGCACTGTCGCCTTCCGCCCTCCCAGGGACTTGTGAGACAGGCCCATCTTCCCACTTTACAAAGGAGGAACTGAGGATCAGAGAGGTTAGACACCTGCCTAACGTCACACAGCCTGGAAAACATGGAGACGACTTGAACTCAGCACTGCTTCACACCAGAGGCTGTGCCTTCTCTTCACACCCATCCCCACCTCCTCCAGGGCGGGGCCCGTTCCCAGGCCCCGGGGAGCCTTTTCTGAGCTGTCACTGCTGCTCCCAGCCAGCTCCCTGATGACCGTGTCGCCCTTCAGGATGTGGACCTGTGGCTTAGGACAGACACCCGTCACACGCTAAGACTTATTTGCACTTGAACATGGCAAGCTGACCAGCGAGAGCATGGAAGGGGGTGGCAGATGCTTCCTCCACTTGACCACTTTGCTGGCGCTTCTCCTGCCTGCTTTTCCCTAGGAAGGTGAATTTCAAGCTCCTTTCCTGGCCTTGATGTTCACCCCCTGGAAGCAAAGGGGGTTGGGGTAAGGGGTGGGGGCGGCGCTGCCAAGAAGCATGGGAAGCCGTCACTTGCTCCCTCCGAGGAAAAGCTAACCAGGAGAGTTGCCCACCTGGGAGCCCAGTGTGAAGGTAATTAGTGATTCAGAAAAACAAGCTCAGGAGGAGCTGCCAAGGGGTGGGGCGGAGGGGGAGGGCAGGGAGGGCCACGTGGCTGGGCCACGGTCACCTGCAAGGCCCGGGAGCATGTCTTGGGCCTCCCTCCACTGCTGCCCCAGGTCCTTCTGCGGCAGGTCTGGTTGAGCGGCAGGTCTGGAGCACCCTGCCTGCATTAGGATTTACCCCCTGAATTCCTGCCGAGTTCACTCAACTTTAGCTTTTTTTTTTTTTTAACACTGAGCTGTCCCATCTAGTCACCTCCACCCCTCGCCCCCCCCCCAGGAGATGAGGGCAGGTAAAGGGTAGCCACCTGTGTCCACTTCTCACAGGCACCAGAGAGGGCAGAAGACTCGCTCGGGGTGGACCTGAGGGCCGGGTCTCCTGCCCCTCGGCTGCAGCTCTTTCCAGTTTGGCCCTCTGCCCAAACACGTGGGACAGGCCACCCGTCCTGGACGGCACCTAGAGGCGCCTGCGTCTCCCCTCCCCCCTCTCCGGGGCTGGCAGCAGGTGCCCGGCAGGTCCAGGAAGCCCTCCCTCTGAGAAGACAGGCGGACCTGAGGCCGAGCCACGACAGGGGCGGGCACGTGCACATGCCGCCCTTCGGGGCCCCGAGCATTCCTTTCTCCACTACGTTACTGTCCAAATACGACTGCTTGACAGTGGGGGCCCTGCCTGCAATAGGGGCTGTCACCTCACCAGGCTGTCCCCTCTGGTGGCAGGCACAGTGCTTTCCTCCCCCCACTCCTGATGGGGGGGTCATCGGCCTCAAGCCTCCCGTTCACCCCACTGGGCCACCCCACACAGCAGGCAACGGGCCTGAAATATTCCTTCTCACCAGCCCCTACTGAAAGGGACCACTCTGCTTCGGAGAGAACTCAAGGCACGGCTCTGCTGGAGATCAGAACTGCCCAGGCGGAAAACTGCCAAAACTGCCAAAACAGCCAGGCCCCTGTGAACTGGCCAGGCTGAGTTAGCTCCTCTCCTGGCATCTGGGAGGGTGCAGGGTCGCATCGCCTGGGACAGGAGAGGCCTCGGCTCCAGGCAGGGGACCACTGCTCCTCCAAGCTCGTGGCTCCCCGTGGGCCCCTTCCTCTGGCTGGCTGGGGGCACTCCTGTCCCCAGAGACACAGGTATTTCAGCGAGTGGTCCAGTGCTGTGACCAGCCTCCCCCACCAAGCTCATCCTGGGACAGTCCTTGATGAAAATGGAAAGCCACACACTTCTGGGCACAAGGTGGGCTCCACTGCTTACTTCCTGGGAGACCCTGGGCAAGTTTCTTAACCTCTCTGATCTTGGTTCACCAAACAGAAAGTTGAGCACCTACTAGGCACCAGACACTGTTCTGGGGGCTGAGGAAGAGCAAGACACAAAACAGGACACCCCTGTCCTTTAGGCCTTAACATTCTAGTGGAAGGATACTGTCAACAAATGAAAAAGTGAAACAGATAGTATATCAGATGGTGTAAGCACAGAGAAACATAAAGACCGTGTGGGGTAAGGAGCGGGAGGCTGGGGGAGCCGTTTCAAACAGGGGGCTCAGGCCAGGCCTCCATGCCAGGCTGACACCCCAGCAGAGACTGAAGGGGCTCTGAGAGGACCCAAAGGAGGGGAGAGACAGAGGGGACTGGCAGGGCAAAGGCCCTGAGGCTTCAGCACGCTCGAGGTGCTGTGGGGCTGAGGGTGGTACTTACCTTGTAGGGCCACCTTGAGGATGAGAGAAATGGTATTTGTCAAACTCAGCAGAGAATGTCTCAGGAAGCTGGCACAGGCCAGGGGGTGGTGGGGAGGTGACAGACACCAGTCACTGGAAACTGAATACAACCAGTGGGGGCAGGGCCAGGGAGCCCAAGGAGGGAGGGCCAAGGAGACAGATGGACAGATAAACATAAGGAGACTCATGCCCGGGAACCTATATTAAGGATGAAGTGTAGGAGAAAGGAAATGTGAGAACACAGCCGAAGGCACTTGCAGAGGAAGCACTGTGGGGACGAGATGAGGAGCTGAGCCTTCTGGGGAAGCGAGATCCCGGGGCCCGGGAAGTGCTGGGAAGGAAGTGGGCAGCCCCGAGGACTAAGAGGAGGGAAGGAGCGGGCATCTGCAAGGCAGGGCACCTCTGAGCTGTCCCCAGGCTCCTGGGGGACAGCCTGCCCGCCCTATGAGACCGCCGTGTCCCCAAGGCAGAACCTGGGCCCTCGGACCCACAGCCAGGACCCACACTGGTTCCAGGGTTCAGGGCCAGCCTCTGCCTAATCCCACACTTGTTGTACCAGTACTCGGGGCCGCTCAGGGCCCCTGAGCTGCTGCCCACAGCCAGGGAGTCCCTGCCCCAAGGGGAATCCAGCCCAGCCCGGGCCACTGGCCCCGGGCTCATCCAGCTACACGTTGCCCATCCTCATCCCAAGCTGTCCTTTCTCTGCTCAAGCTCATCCCCTGGCCAGAAGCTCCCCTCTTTCCTCAGTCTGCACGGGTAGACACCACCCACACTGAAAACTTGCTTATTTATAACCTGCCTCCTTCCAAAAATTACCTCAGGGAGCTAAGTCACCACCCTGCAGGGCCTGCCGGCTCACCTTCTGCCTCCTTGTGGACCCCGCCCTGCACACTGCCCCCGCCCCTGTCCCTTCCTCCCCCTGCCTCCGACTGAACTTTATCTTTTAAGACTCCTGGGACACCGCTCCTGATCTGTCTTGTATTGTCATTGCTGTGTCTTGTCACCTAACTTCCCTCCACGGCCACCAGCTGCTCCTGACCTGGCCCTTTTCAGGGACGTGCAGTCCCTCTGACTCGTCTCTACACTGACAGAGCCCGGCCCGATGTCCGACGGTAAATGTTTTCCCAACGACTGGAGCCCAGCGGGCTGCCTGCCCCCTCTCCTGGTCCCAGGGGGGCTGTCTTGAGGAGAGATGGTCAGCCCCACTCGCTGGGGCTAGAGGGGACAAAGGTGTGTGGTGTGCCTGAGACCTCCAGGCACCTGGGCTCTCAGACTCTGGCTCTTCAGGTTGAGCACCTTCTACTGCCTGACGGGGACCCCTGCTGGGGGCCGGGTAACCATCACCCAGCAGGGAGCTGGGCAGAGGTCGTGGCCAGCAGCACGCCCAGACACAAGGATGGCACCGGTGCGCTGGCGCCCAAGCCCATGCTGTCCGTGGGGCGGGGGAGGGGCCTGGGGGCTGCCTGTTCCCTAGGCCCAGCCTTGCCTGCCCCTCCCTTGACTCTCCAAAATAGCCCAAGTTTACGGTACCCCCTCCCCCACTTCACACCCAACCCCAACCAGCAGCAGAAACACCTCGTCATCCACAGACAAGATGTTCAAGAGGCAAATGTTGGGCCAGAGAGAAAAACAGAAAATCAGCCCAGGAGGATGTGGAGGCTGCCTCGGGGCAGGTGGAGGGTGGAGGAGGCCGAAGGCCTCAGCCTGACCCCCACCTGACCCCCAGAGGACATGGAGGGGCTCCCTCCCCCCCGGGGGTACTGCAGGAGGCAGGGCAGCCAGCACCTGGGCTCAGCTGGCTGGCTCTCCCTAGCCCGGAGGGGAGGGACCCGTGACCCCTGTCCTCATTCCGAAGCCTGTCATGCCCACTGGCCAGCTGGTCCCAGGCAATGCCCAGGCCTGGGGGCAAACGTACTGGGCTCTGCATTTCCCCTCTAGAAGGCCTTGGTTTCAGTCCTCAGCCTGGGCCAGGGATGCCTAGTCTCCTTGGTTTTTGTCCTATGGAAGCCCTACAGAGAGAAAAAACAAGAGCAAGCTCAGACACGGGCAATTCTGGGGACGGAGGAGACGGGAGCTTTTGTGTGGAGGGTAAAGTGAGGGAAGGGACAGCAGGACAGCAGAGGGGCCCCTCTGAGCCCCCCTAAGTCAGAGGACCCCCGGGTTGCAGCCCCAGGAGGTGCCGAGGCAGCCACATTAGCAGACGTGGATTCACGAGATCCGGTTTTGAGTCTAGTTTACCACCGAGTGGCGACCTTGAACAAGCCCCTCTGGGCCTCGGCTTCCTTCTCTGTAAAGTGAGGTTAATAATCCCTGCCTGACATGGGCCAGATGAGATATTCAAAGAAAGCAGAGGAGACAGTACCCGACACACAGCAGATGCTTCATCAGCGTGCAAACCCAGCTCCAGCTGCCTGCGGGGCGGTAGGGACCCCTTGCACCACATCCTCTCCTTAGAAGGGAAACCTCATGAGAAAACTCTTCCCTGGGACTGATTTCGCCAAAGGAGGACTCTCATCCTCAAGAGGGTTGATAAGTGAGCTAGGCCAGCCCAGCCCCTGGAACCTCTGCTGAGTGGGTGTGAGGGAGGCGAGTGTCCCACGTTACGTACATCAGCCTCCTGCCCGCTCTCGGGAAAGGTTGAAGACCCTTTTCTACAGCTCTGGCTGCTTCCCAAACCGCCGCTGGTCTCTTGGCCTGCAAAGCCACCCTGGCTGTCCCTGAGCCCCACTCCACCTGGGACTGAGGACAGTGGGCAGGTGGGGACAGGACCAGCTCGTGCTTGCTGCCAGGTCTGGCCGGAGAAACGGAACCACAGCACCTCGGCCCATGGGCCCAGCCACAGTGAGGGGAACAAGGGTGAACACCCCTGCCTGACCTGGGCCGGGCCAGTAGCTAGGCAACAGGCTCCCACAATCAGCTCAGCTCACTTCCCGTTGGTGTCTGGTCTGCTCAGGTCAGAACACACTACTCAAACCAGACGCTGCGTGCGGAGAGATGCCTGGGGGGAGTCCTGCTCCTGGGCCCCACAGGCCCTCAGAGAGGACCCCAAGGCCATGGGCACAGCACTGCAGGCCCCTGCCAGGGAAGGCACACACACAGACCCAGGTGACAGAGTGGGGAGGGCCCAGGCCCAGAGGGGTAAGAGAGGAAGTGTCACCGTCTGCTCCAGAGCTTTCCGATGTCACCCATGGGAAGTACAGACCCTCGGAACACCTTCCACAGGAGAGTGAGAAAGGAGCCAGCTCCCCACCGTTAGTGGAAAAGGCCTGTGGAAACGTGGGACAGCGGGGGTTGGTGGCTAGGGGGTCCGGAGCCCTGGCTCTGACTCACGGCCGCCACTGGGTGGCTGTGTGATCTCGGGTATGTTGTTTACCTTCTTGCAGCCTTGGTCTATTAGTGGGGATAATGCCTCCACGGTAAATTCATTGGGAGGATTAGAGACTAGTGCCAACTATAAGCATGGAGTGCTCAATAAGTCGCAGTTGTCATTAGTTAATTAAAAAAAATTCTATATCTTCATTTCAGTCCCAGGAACAGCTGGAGGCCCCCTTTGCCTGGGCTCCTATGCAGGAGGCCAGGGCTCAGTGGCAGGGGCTTCTCCAAAGCCCAAGGCAGCTGCAACATTGGTCTCAACCACCAGAAGCCGGAAACCCGGGGTGGGTTGCTGGCTCTGCTATTGGTCCAGTGGCTTCGACATGATGCTGAACAGCACTGAGTCCTGGTCTCCGTGTTGCTTCCATGGGGACCCGTGACTGGCCCCAAACCTCCCACTTTAACTGGAACGCCCTGGCTGACGTGACTGTACACCAAAAGGATGCTGGGCCTGGAGGACCTCAAGGGGCTGAGTAAGCTCAGAGCCCCTGGCTGGGCCACTGTCCAGTGAGGTGAAGAGGAAATAAACTCATTGATGGTGCTGCCCCTTGGAATCCAAGAGGGAAGAACCCGAGAAGGTGCAAAGTCCCCAGAGAGCCCGGGGTGCTCAGGAATAGGGCCTGGCTCCCCTGGCACCTCACTCATTCCCCCTGGCTGGTCCCATCTCCATCAAGCTAAATTTGCCTCCTCCTCCCTCCCCTTGCCCCCCACTTCAGAAGAGCCTGAATTATCTGCGCTTGTCTCTCCCCCCCAGGGTACACAGCCAAGAGAGGACACCCGCACGGTCAGGGGACTACGCTGAGAGGCCCATGGGACTCACAGCAGACCCAGGCCAGGGCGTGACCTCGTTCTGAGCTGGCATGGGGGCCACGAGGGAAGGAACTAGGGCAGCTGACCCTGGCTTCACTGGGCCCTGGAGAAGGTCCCTGCCTTCCAGCCCTGGGACACCTGCAGCCCCCGCTTGGCCTGCCACGGCCACAGCCACAAAGCCCCTGTTCCTCCCTTGTCTTCCAGGCGGGATATCCACCCACCCAGGTCTAGCAAGCCCGCCTGGCCCCTGCCTGCACCCCACTGCCCCATCTCCCGCCCTTGCCTGGAGGGGGTGTGCAACGAATCCCTTCCATGACCAGGGGGAGGACCAGCCCCGGAGGTGCTGGGGAAGGCAGCAGGGCTCTGAGACTCAGCAGCATGACAACCTGGGACACCAGAGGTGACATAACCAGTCCCTAGACCCAACACACAGTGTCCCAGAGAGACCCCCGCCAGGCTTCAGCTGTAGCCACGAGACCAGACACCAGCCCAGGGCTCCCTTTTTCAAAGGATCTAAAGCCACCCTTCAGGGCTGCTTTCCACTGCCCCACCACCCCCTCCCACCGAGGGGCCTTTAGGGAACCTGGATCCACTTAGGGAAGGAGTGCTGGGAAGGGACGAAGCCGCCCCCAGCCCACCCTGTTCACCCATTTCCAGCAGAACCCTGGACCAGGGCTTTCGGGGAAGCCGAGCAGTGTTGCAGCAGGGAGAAGCGGCCACAAATCTGGGCTCATCACCAGGCAGCCTGTGGCCCGCCACGGGCCGTGGGGGCCTGCAGGGCCCAGGCATCAGGCCCTTCCTGTGCAATTACCCTCACCCCTGGGGAGGCCCAGACACCCGGGTGTCCAGGAAACCTTCGGGGCAGGCATCCTGTCACCCTGATGAGAGGCCTTCCCCAAATCTGGGACCACGGCCCGGCTTCTGGTCCCAGCTCTCCCTTTAATGAGTAGAGGAGGCGGAAGCCAGTGTCCCCCTCTCCTAGTTCCCGGCACTCCGAGCTGCGGGAGGATTTCAATGAGGTGGCGCACCTGGAGGCAGCTCACCAAGGGCCCGCCACAGAGTGGGCACTAAACATACTCCGTAGTTTTCTTCCCCTAAACCCAGCCTGACCCCAGCAGAGGAGGAGTGAGGGTAAACCAACACAGGGGGCCTGTGCAGACAGAAGGTGGGGAGAGCTCAGCAAAGCACACCCCCAAGTACTGGGAGGCGACACAGCAAAGCGGCCGGGTCCAAGTAGTAAGTCAAGTGTGTGCCATCTCCTGATGAAGCGTGCAGGGGACAGGGCGGGGGTGTGATACTCCCGGGGGGTCTTTGGAAGGCTGGGGGGATGGGGAGGGAAGTGGCGGAAAGCGGGGTCAGTTTGGGTGAGGATCCTCCCTGCCTCTCTACCCACCACCACCCGCCCCCGTGCAGGCCCGAGAGATGGCCCAGGCTGCTGCCACTCACCCTGGCCGCCCTGGAGGAGTAGGGATCCTCGAAGAGCGCCCACATGCGGGGCTGCCAGCCTCGGCAGCCCCCGGACCCGGCTCCTGGGCCCGCGCCTCCCTCGTGGGGCCCCAGGCGCTGCAGGGCCAGCTCCCGCTCCTCGTCGCCGGCCTCGTCACCCTGTCCCACGCCACTGCCGCCTCCGTCCGGGCTCTCGAAGATGTCCAGCGCCTCCTCGGCGTCGCGGTGCTGCCGGTAGGTCATCCAGCAGCAGGGCTCCACGTCGGTCTCGTCGATGCCCCAGAAGGTGAGCTCCTCCTCGAAGAGCGGCCCGCACACGTCGGCGGGGCAGTGCAGCTTGCCGGTGCGGTAGTAGTTGAGCACGTACGCGAAGACGCCCGGGTGCCGGTCGAAGAAGAACTCGCAGCCCCCGCCGCCGCTGCTGCCGCTGCTGCCCGCGCCGCCGCCATCGGACTCCGGCCGGCCCCCGCCGTCCGGATCGGCCAGCCAGGCGAGGCGGGTGCCCGGCAGGGTGCGCAGGGTGCTGCGGTAGGTCTCATGTCGCGTGCCGCCCACGTTGATGATGATCTTCTCCGACGCCTCGCCCTTGGCCATCTCCTCCTTCAGACATGTTTTGGACGGAGGCTTGTTCCCCGACTTGCGCCCGCGGTAGGAGGAGACACACACCGAGCTGATCATAAGAAGCGCTGCGGGGCTTCGGCTTGGGGCGGCCGCTGCCCTCCAAACACCCTTCCCGAGGAGGCAGCGTCAGACGGGGGAGGGGGAGGAGACGACAAGGAGGCAGGAGGCGGCGGCAGCCCCCTCTGCGGCGTGGCCCTGCCCCTGCCTCCCCCCCGGGGCACGGAGCGGGAGGAGTTGGTGCACAGGTGGTTGGGGTTTGGGCAGGCAGCCCGGGGCGGGAGGCAGAAGGGGGGAAGGAGAGCCGAGAACCCCAGCGAGGGGCCGGAGGTGGCGGGGGTGGAGCAGGGGCAAGCACACACACGCTCCCGCGCTGGGACTGGACACTCAGACGCTCTGCGCCCGGGACACACCCCCACTTTACCCCCAGAAGGCAAGGAGGCGCACGGTCCCCGCGCACCGCGAGGCTCCGGGGCGCGCGCGCGCTCACACTCTCACGGGCCACCTTCTGGCTCCCTGACCGCGCCGAGCCCCGGTAGCGGCCGGCTTCCCCGCGGTGGTGGTGGCGGCAGTGCAGCAGCAACAAGTCTTCCGACCAGCTGCCGGGGCCGGGCCGACGCTCTCACGGCAGCCGGAGCTCCGCGGGCCCGGGCTCTGTGCGGTCAACACAAGGCGGCGGCGGCGGCATGTGGCCTCTATCCCCCATTCATAAATCCAGCGCAGGGCACCGATGGCGGGCGGGGCTGAGCTGAGCGCGGCGATCGGGCGGGCGGGGGCTGCGCAGGGCGAGGCGGCAGCAGGAAAACAAGCGCACCCGCAGGAGCGAGCCTCAGGTCCTGCGTCCGCGGCTGGCAGCGGCTGGGAACGGCGCTGGGTTGGGTGGTGTGCGGCGGAGGCTGCGCTGGGGCGAAGGGGGCCTCAGACGGGGCGTCCTGGCTGCGCCAAGCCCAGGGGGCAGGACTGCTCCGGGGAGCTGGGATCTGGGCACTGGTGAAGAAGTCTCTCGGGTGGCGGCCAAGCGGCCAAGGACACCTGCAGGCTTCCCGGGATGCGCCAAGTGGGAGCCTCAGCGCAGCGCCCCGGCACCGGGCTCCTGTGATCTGGCGGCGCTGGGAGCCTTGCCATCCACGCGTCTACCCATCTCCGAGAGGGGCGCCGGCCTTGGCTCGCAGCAGGGGGTGGGCGAGAGGTGGCCTAGCGAGTGGGAGGGGGACGCCGCGGCGCCGGTGGGCTGAGGCTCAAGGGGTTCTCTGTCTCCCTCCGGCGATGCTAGCAGACACCATTCTCCGGTGGCGCCTTTTCCTCTGGGCCCCGCCTCGCCCGGGCGCGCCCTTCGCTGGGCGGGGTGGGCGGGGCGTGGCGCGGGGCCGATAGGGCTAGCTGCAGGGCTTCGGCGGCTTGATCTCAGCCTTCCTCGGCCAGGCCGAGCCCAGCCGAGGCGCGTAACCCTCTCGCCGCCAGCGCCCAGCCCAGCGCGCCACCCTTGCGCGCTTCCGCCACCTTCACTCGCCCCACTCCGCCCGGCTCCCCGCCTCCCCCGAGTCCGCAGCTCCTCCCACTGCAGCCCGGGTGACAGAGAAGCGCTCTCCACCCCTGACCTCTAACCTCCGCTCTCCCCTTCTGGCGGTTTCTGTAGCCCCCTCCCGGCCAAGCTGGTTTCATTGTTGTGGTTTCATTGCAGCTGACTGGAGGCGGGATAAGAAAGCGAGTGCAGAGATGGTGTCCCCTTCTGCCCCAGACACCCTGCTGGGCCTCCTGACCACCCCGCCCCCATCCTCCGCCTGCCGGGCCCAACGAGGCCCAATTGCCCGGGGTCTCGATGCTTACCTCCTCTGTCACACTCACGGGAGCCCCCGCGGTGGAAGGGGGATCACGCTGGCTCCTGGTCGGGGGGAAAGGAACTGGAGTCCTGGCGCTGTTACGGGTGCCGGGTGGCTGGGCCTGGAAGACCATTAAGTTAAGCCCAGGCCTGTTGTTGCCGGCCCTGCCCTGTGACCCCGTCCTGTTTCTGCTGCTGTTTCACTCACCGCCGTGTGACTTTGCCCTTGTTATGTCCCGTCCGCCTGTCTGACCCCAGCTCCCCCAGGCACTGCGTTTTCATCCTGCTCTCTCCCACAGTGCCTGCCGCCCAGAACTTGTCTGCTAAGTAATTGAGAAGCCGCCATGCCCAAAGCATTAAGGCACCGGCCGACTTGACTGGCCTCATCCCAAAAGCAGTTTCCAGATTCATTTGTTTTTAAGTCCAGAACCTCTTCTACATCTTTAAATTAAGCCTCATCTTAATTTTCATTTTATTTTTTTACAGTCTCGGGCAGCTTCCAGGTCCGTCTGGGTGATGTAAGGAGGATCTTAAGGCAGAAATGCAAGGCGACTGACATGTCCGCCAGGACACCATCGGATTTCCAGACCAGGAGTGCCTGGCAGTACCGGACAAGCAAGTCAAGGGCCTCTGGGTGCTCGGAGGAAAGGGTAAAAGCCCAGTGCACGTTCAAGGGACTCTTATAAGCCAAAGCCTCATTAATGCTGGAGCGAGAAAACCAAAATGACGATGATCTGTGTTAATAGGCAGAGGAGGTGGGGCATCTGGTCTGTAGCCAGAAACACACATTTACTGGTACCCCGTTTGTGTCTCGTCCCCCTACGCCTTGGCCTTGATGTCTGCATTTGAGAGTTTAGCTGGCTTCGAGCTTCCTGCGGCAAAAAAAGGAAAATCCCAAACATGACTGGAAAGAGAAGATCCAGGCCTGGCCATAAGCTGGAGTGAGGAGAGAAGAACCATAGCGAGAATATTAAGGACCGGTCTGTAGTGAGCAGCCGTAGAGTCCAGCCTGGTTGTGCACAGGCAAACTCCCTTGCGGTCTGGCCCCGCCCCTTTCTGTTCTTCGGGCAGCCTGAATTCAGTCATCCCAAGAAAGGGAGAGGCTGCTGGGAGAGGTGAAAACCCATCTTACTCCTGAGTCATTTGTTCGTTCAATTAGTAGTTCTGGAGTCCTACTATGTGCCAGAAGCCGTTCCAGACACTGGAAATCAATCACGACGACAGAGCCCCACCCCATGCTTTCCCTAGTGAATCTCTGCGCTCTTGCTCTCGGTGCTGCTTCCGTTCTGCGGTGTTTGCGGATGGTGATTGGCAAGTGGGGGATGGGGGAGGAAGAAAGCTGCGCGGGGGAGGGGGAGCCTGGAGAGGAGGTCAGAAAGCTGGCGTTGAGAGTAAGGGAACCCCGGAAGAGCCAAAGGAATCAGAGGGCCCAGCTTGGGAGGCGCAGTGGGATGAAGGTGACCAGGCAGAAGGGCCCCTGACTCAGGCGCTGACAAGCTCCTGAATTGGGGACCTCAGCTTCAGGCCACCGGCCTCCAGAGAGGGCCTCAGCATTGGCTGAAGGTTTTAATCTAGAGCTTTGGGCTAATTCCTTCTGGAATTTTCTGGGGATTCATTGCCGCAGTTGGCATCCTAGGGCTCGTCTCCCACCAGTTCTGCGCTTGTGAGGTCACGCTGTTTCTTCAAAGCACAGCCCAGGAAGCGGGGAGAGCCCCCTGCCTAACCTGCAGTGAATCTATTCTGGAAGGGTGGGTGCTGCCCCCTGGTGGTGTGAGGAGACCCTGCGCCAGACCTCCCCTCAGCTCAGGGCTGTGTTGATCAAGAGAAAAGGGGGCGAACCGGTGGGGTGACAGCTGATTCTGGACTTCCCATCCATTCCAGGACCTCATATATCTCTGCCGGCATGACCCTCCCATGTGGGACTCTGCCTGCTCCTTCCCTTTTCCATCCTTGATAGCTGACAGGCTGAAGCAAGACTGAAGCACTCAGAGTTAGAAATTCCTAATTCGGCATCTTCTTTCCCTCGGTTACCAACTCTTCTCCACCCTAGTCCCCTTGGGGCCCAACTCCTCTGTCCAGGAGCCAGTCCAGGCCATAGTGTCGGCCACCATGGGCTTCCCTTGCCGGGAATCCAAGGGTAGCAAAGGCCTAGGAGAAGCACGTTTGAGTCCAGAGTGGCGCAAGGGGGCCTCCCAGCACCTGCAGCTTTTCTGCAGCCCCTCAAACAGGGCCCTATTCTCAGAGTGGAGGCTGATCCCACCAGGGCAAGCTGGGGAGCCTGACCTCAAAGCCATTTCCCCTCCCCTCATCCCACCAGAGCTTGGGTGGAGGGGCTCAGCCACTTGGAGGTGACAAGAAATCTCTCCTTTTTCTCTGCGTGCAGTCTCTCTTTTGGGTTCCACTTGTTCAGAGGGCTCCAGGCCTCGTGGCAGGCCCCATGGCTGCCAGAGCAAGGTCCTGTCCTTTGCTACCCACACCTCCCTCTGTTGGCATTCGGGCTCCTGCCAGGGACCACCCCCTTCTCCCTCAGATCCAGGTCAAGGAGCCGGTACCCTTTCCCAGCCTGCCCTGCTCCCCAGCCCGGCTAATTGAATTGCTTTATCGGCCATCATCACTGAGGGGAGGCTGACAGGGCCCTACCCCTCTTGGAAGGAGAAAGGAAGGGAGGGTGAGAGGAGGCTGCAAGCCTCCTGTTTGCTTATCAGTTCATTTAACCCTGCTTCCCCCCCTCCCGCCTACCCCCACCCCCACCCGGCAGCCTGCAGAGATGAGCAGGCTGCAGATCAAAGCTGAGAGCCTTCCCAGGGGGGTCCAAGGAGGACCCAGTGTAGAGGACAGCCCGAGGGGCCTGTAGGGGTCAGCTAGAATGGCTCTGCACCAAGGCTGAAGCCAGGGTTTGGGTTACTGGGAAAATTTGCTTGAAAGTGTATCTGGGGATCTCCAAGTGTGGCCTTTGATGGCCCAGCTCTTAAAGGGAAAGGACCAGAAGGGTGCAGGCCACAAGCTCAGGCCTGGCCAGGACTCCGAGCTTGTGAACCATGGACTTGGAATCAAAGGGGCAGAAGGCACCTGAGGGCCAGCTTGCAGGCACGGTCTCCTTGAGGGAGTTCAGGCCTAGGGAGCAGCACTGAGCTCTGGGAGACTGGGCTGGACCTGGGCGTGGGTCGAGGGCAGAGCGGGACACGGGGGCCCACGTGGCCTCTGCATGTAGAACAGTGTTCACAGGAATCACATGACCAGGGCCAGCTGAGTGGACCCCCAGAGCCCTCCTTGCTCAAGGCGGCTGCGGTAGATGCCCAGCCTAGGTCCAGAGAACATGCACGCACACGTAGGTTAGCATGGGGCCCTGCTGGCGAGACTCCTTTGGCATGCAGCCTGTCTCCATCTTCAGAAGTACAGATTCCTCCCACCTGGGCTAAATTCCAGCAAAACTGGTTCATTTCATCAGCATAGTTAATTAGTCCTGATGGACCCGGTCCCCTCCAGCAGGGTCCTGGGGAAGGAGGAGGAAATCGTCTGGAGAGGCCGACCAAACTCGGGCTCCTCTTAGGTGGTCCCGGAGCCCAGGGACCCTCCCCTGCTTGGGCCAGCCTGGGAAGAACGGCTCCAAGCTGGGGAGCCACAGGGTGGATCAGCACCATCTTCTGCTCCCCCGCTCCTGCGCCTGGCATGGCGTAACCTTAACAATGGCTGGTTTGCTGTTGAGGGACAGACATCGTCTCCTCCTCACTTCCTGGGCTTCTTGCTACATAAGACAACATACGTAAAGAACACAGTGGTGTGCCTGGCACCGGGGGCTGTGAGTGTGGCAGGTCATTCAAGTCAAGTGCTGACTGCCGCCGCTACAAGGCAGGGCCAGGCCAGACCTTTCTCTGTGCGTATTCTCAGTGGCTGGCACAACCCTGGGCACTCAGAACACTCCGTTCGGGCCTGATACGTGGACATAATGGGGGGTGGGGCGGGGGAGCTGGGGAGAGCCCTTCCTGTTGGCAAATTGCCATCCTGGAGGGAGCAGAGGACTGAGTCAAGAAACCCAGGGCTTTGACCCAGTGTTCCCCCTGCTTGCTTGTGGGAATTCTGGGCAGAACCCTTCCCTCTCTGGGCCTCAGTTTCCCCAACTGTTCTATGAAGGTGTTGGGCCAGGTAATCACTAAGGTCTTGTGGTTACGATTGCTGGGAAGCAAATGATTACCACGGTTTAGTGGTGTAAATCCAACAAGTGTTTTATCTGGCTCGTGGTTTTATGGGTCAGGAAGTTAGAAGGGGCTCGGTTGGACAGCTCCATGCGGGTCTGTGAACGTCTGACGGTCAGCTCGGCCGCGTGTCCACTAGAGCATGTCCACTAGGGCATGTTCACCTGGCTGGCAGTCGATACTGGTGACCAGCTTGGGTTTCAGCTGAAATTGTCCACCCAAGCGCCTGCAAGCACACAGTGTCTCCAGCATGGGCAGCCTCAGGATAGCCGGACTTTTTCTGTGGCAGCTGGGTCCCCCCAGAACCAGTAACCCTTAAATACCTCCAAAGTCACAGAGCATCACTCCCATCATAATGTGCTGGTCAGAGCAGGCATTTTTCCTTCCTGATTCAAGGAGGGCACACCGTATCAGTGAAACCCC